TGCAACTGACACTCCTGTTAAGACAGCCCAGTCTGCCGTCGGCTTTTCTTTCTGCAACAAGAGCACGCCGCTGGCTCCTATTCAGCTTCTGGTCCCCCATAACCCCAGGTCCTTCTATGCCATACTGCAGCCCGGCCAGTCAGTGCGACGATATGGATTAGCTCTCACCACATCCCCCAAACTAGCAAGGTTCAAAGGAGAGCGCTTCTTTCAAGAGAGCCAAAGAGCCCAGGCACCTGCCACATCAGGTAGAGAAGCCTTCAGGTACAGGATCAGGGCCGCAGTCATAGGTGGCTGCTGTAGGTACAGTCCTCGAAGAGCCCCTCGCTGGGCAGCCGCAGTGTTGAGCAGGATTCTGGGGGTTTGGGTGGATTAAATTCACCGTGAGTCAGCAGCGACAGTCACAGAGAGAGGGGGAAAAAAATAAAAAGGAAAGCAAACGCAATTCCAGGCTGTATCAACGGGAGAACGAGGTGCGAGACACGGGAGGAGAACGTGCCGTTCTACCGAGCACGGCCGAGGCCTCCGCTACGGCGCCGTGTGCAGGTCTAGGCTCCGCGTTTTAAAAAGGACACAGAAGCTCATCGAGTCCTAGAGCCATGGACGTGCTCGGGAGCTGCAGAGGTCACATCTAATCTAGCCCCTGCCCGAGGCAGGATCAACCCTGTCCGGCCCAGACAAACCCCATGTCCGACCTTGGAGCCACACAACACGGTTGTCCCCAACACAGCCCCAGGCGTCGCCCCGGGCCCGGGGAAAGCAGGGGGGCTGCCGCAGTCAACATCCTGCTGCTGCCACCAAGGGGTCATGGACGCTGCAGAGAGCCCAGGCCAAGGCCGTGCCCCTGCTGCAGAGGAAGGCAACCCTCTCCACACCCCCCCACCCAGGCTGTACAAGTCTGACTAGACCATAGCCAAGAGTCCAGAGGCAGGGGACAAATGATCAAGGGCTACAAAGGAAGCCATACAAGGAAAGGCTGAGAGGGAAAAGGCAAGCATCACTGCAGAAGACAGCGTGACTGCAATCAGGTCCCCCTTAAAGTGAAGGAGGGCAGATAACTGCTTGCCCTCACTGCCAAGGGCAGGACACGATGGCTTTGTGCTGCAGCATGATGGGTCCAGACAAGATTGCCGGACCAGCTTCCTTCCCATCACAGGAGCGAGGCCGAGAGCCCAGCTGCCCAGGGGCAGAGCAGACTCTCCTTCCCTGGGGGTTTGTAAAAGGAGGCTGGAGAAGTACTGGGCAGGGCTGAGTTAGCAGCAGCCCATGTGCGTGCAGGGGCCAGGCGAGACAGCCCCTCAAAGTTTCCCCACAAGCCCAAGACTCCCCAGATACAGGCAGGCAGGGGAAAGGGACAGGATGATTGCCAGCCCAAGCGTGGAAGAAGCTGGTGCAGAAACCTATTGGCAGAGACGGGAAGGGCCAAAAGCTGAGCAAGGGCACAGGACCTGGCTTGCAAGGGCCATTAGCCAGGCACAAAAGGAGGCTGTTGGGAAGAGATTGCAGTCAGGCGCACGCTGGGCTCACTCAGGAGGCTGCCTGCAGGGAGAGGCATTTGGACAGCATGGCTGCGGGCAGGCCAGTCCCTGCAGGCCCTGGACTCTGAGTCCAGCCTTCCTGGTCCATAGCAGGATGCAGAAGGCAGCCAGCTTGCAAGTTCCCCTCCCCACCAGGCATTTGCCATCAGTCACAAAGCCTTAGGCCCCAGAGCAAAGAATCCCCACCGCCAGCCCTGGATCATCATCTAGACCCTGCTGTCGGGATCTGTGCTTTCCCGGGCTGGGGCATGTGGACCAGGGATTCCCTCCCAAGTGGTGTCTGCTTGGGTCCTCTTTGCAACAGGGTCTGGACACCCTGTGCACGGAGAAAGGCAGAGCCTCACCTGGGAGGCTGCTTCCCCACCAGCAGCGCCCTCGAAGGGAGCCGGCCCCCATTAGGGCAGGGGGAGAGGACTTCCCTGCTGGAGCCCCTCTGGTTCCTTTCAGAGCAAACTGGTGACACCGAGATGCCGGTGACACCAATAGGCTTCAGCAGGGGCAAGATGTCATAGAGCCGCAGGGCAGACAGGGAGCTGCAGGGTCGCATCCAGTCCAGGATCAGCCCCATCCAAAACAGTCCAGACAAACCCCATTTGAGATCTGAGCTGCACGACACAATTGGCCCCGACACAGCCCCAGGAATCGCCTCCACCCCTACCCCGCAGCTGCCAACGTCCTGCTGCTGCCAGGGGGGTCATGGGCGCTGCAGAGAGCCCAGGCCCAGGCCGTGCCCCTGCTGCAGAGGAAGCCAAACCCCCACAATCCACACCAGTCTGAGCAGGGGGGAAATCCCTTCCTGCCCCAGTGCAGCGTGGGGCTGAGCCTGAGCACAGGGGAAAGACCCTCCTACCAGGACCCTGCGGGGTTGGTGCCAGCAGGAGCATTGGCACAGCCCAGCCCCAGCCCCAGCTTGGGCTGCAACAGCACCCAGTGCCTCCAGCTTTAAGTCCCAGCAGGAGCACTGGGTGACTACATCCTACCTGAGGCTCACAGCTCCACCACCACTCAGAGACAAACTAGCCAGGGCCTTCCCAGGCTGCAGCCCTGCAGAAAGATGAGCTGTGGACAAACAAGGGCACATGCAAAGCCCATGCACCACCAAGCCCCAGAGCCCGAGCTAAGGATGCCGGCCCCTCTCTGACAGATCAAGTCGGCAAGCAGCCCAGGCCTGACCTGGCAACAACACCTGCCTGCAGTGACCATGCCCCTCCATGCCCAGCACCCTTTTCTCCCTGTGCCCAGCCACAGAATACCAAGTAGGACTCATCCTGCGGCATGGGCCCTGACACACCGATCCGACGACGAGACTGTAAACCCATTGCCAAAGAACAGGGAGAAGCCGAGGGGCTCGAGACCAGAGCAAGGCGGGTTTTGGGGAGCAAGGGGTTTACACTCACTTCCCAAGTGACCCAGCTGCACTTTTTGGAGGCTCTGGATCAGGCTCCAGGCTCTGCATGGGTCCACACGGTACCTAGCTTCCCGGGCCCCCCCACCCCAAGAGCGAGCCGACAGCACCATCTAGTGGCTTCCTGCCGGTTCCCAGCCTGGAGCCCGTGCAGCTGCTCCGTGCAGAGTCCAGACACGCTGTGGGCTGAAGACCAGCTCCTCCAGCCTGGGGATCCCCAGTCATAAGCTTTGGGAGGGGGAGGGAAGCAAGGCAAAGGAGGAGAGTAAGTGGGAAGGATGAGTTCTCCCACAGCTTCAGGGCATGCTTCTCCCATGGTCTCTCCTACCCCCTGCCTCATCTCATGGGGCCGGTACAGCGCAGGGCTCACAACTCCAGGACTGCCAGGAAGCACTGGGAACTCCAAACACAGGCCCAGCTGGGTCACAGGAAAGGCAAAGCAGCCAGGCCGTGTTCGATGCTGTGCCGATTTCTTTCTACTCCACAGGGATGTAACCCTGAGGTTCCCACCACCTGGTCAAGCCTCAAGAAGGGGATGGGGCAGGCGATAGCAAGCAGAACTGAAGAGAAAGCTAGAGCCCGCCTGCCAGCGAGGCAGAGCAGCTCTCTGCCAGGCGCAGAGCCAGAGCAGAGCTGTCCCGGCAGGACGAGCGTGGCCACAGGAGGGAGCAAAGCCCAGAGGAAGAAACTTCTCCCCGTATACTCTGGGGGTCTGGCCACTTTCCAGCCAAGCACCGCTGCCCCAAGGCTCCCTTCCCCCTTGCAAGCAGAGGTAGGACTCGGGGAGGTAGAGATGGAGCCCCCCTGGCAGGAAGCAGGGCAGGAAGGTGGTCCTGGAAGGGACATAGACACACATCACTTAGGCTGGTTTAAAAGCAGTTTGAGGTGCAAATGGAGACGTGTGGGACAATTAAGGGGCTGTACTGTTTGTCAGGATGTTACATGTTGACAGGGTTTCTGCGGATGGTTTTGTTCTGGCAGGGAATGGGCTTATGTTAGATGGGAGCATCTGGGGGGTGGCCTGGCTCCTTTCACTCCGCTGTCTGGATGGGCTGGAAGGATGGCTTTGCAGAGAGCTCTGGCTCTCCCCAGAAGC